TATGGTTCATGGGGTCACGAAGAGTCGGACACGACTTAACGACTAAACAACAACAATTTCCCCCTTCATATTATAATCATATATCACATTTCTACTCTTCCTGCTGTCATTGGATACAACTCATTATAAACCTCTTTAGTTTCCGACCAGTATTGATCTAGCTTTCTGTGATACTGCTACAACAATAATTTTGACCTTATTTAATATACAGAATGGGGAAGAAGTTGGTACTATGCCATGCCCAATATTTGAATTATCCCATGCACACAGTCCATGCTTCCCTATGAAGAAAGACTACCATTTTTTTCCAGTTAGAAAAAAATGAAACATGATCATGGCTTACCAAATCATATGCAAAACTAAAAATAGTATAATATACAGTATAAAGAATAATAGTTTTTTCTTCCTCATGTTACTAAAATTTAATTATCCAATGACATTTATTGCAGGAGATTGAGGACAGGCAAAAGAATCTCCTTCAGGCAACATGTAGTTGAATTATGCAATCTACTAATATAAATGAATCACCATTTTGGATCAAAATTAGATATGGTGTTATTGATTATTATTAGTCATAATGTTTATCTTGCTTCACCAAGTTTAGAAAGAGCATGTTTTTGGATACCAATTCCAACATGAGTGAGAGAGGGTTAGCCTGCACTGTCTGTTCCTGCTATCATTGCTTGTAGACCTTTGGTTTACATATCTAAACAATTATACCCCATTTATCCTCCACAGAGTTCCAGACAGTTCACAGTTGCTGAAAATTAAAATTAATTGTAATTAATTAGCTAATTAAAATTAATTAAAATTAGCTGTGGTAAAATTATTCTAAAGTATTAAAATATAAAACAGAAAGAAAAGTAATAGAAACAGTATAACAATTCTAAAAATGTTTGATAAAATATAACATGAAATAAAGATGGTCCACTTTTAGAAATATATAAGATTACACATGAACAAGTATTTCTATTTCTGTTTATTTCCAGTTATAAATGTATTGTCACAATGAACAATAATTTAACTACTATTTGAACATTAACTTATCTGTTTTTCTTTCATGTACCTTAATTACAGGGGAGGTATTTGATTATCTAGTTGCACATGGAAGAATGAAGGAAAAGGAAGCAAGAGCAAAATTTAGACAGGTACGAAGATGTTTTGATATAAAATGTTTCAAGATTTCCTCCAGTCAGTGACTGATCTCATCCTTAACATAGGGTGGTATTTGTTCATGGTAGAAAATACTGATAAAATTGACTTCAACAATGTGACTGCAGTCTACCAATGTTGATGCTGTAGTTATATGGTACAGCATCATGGAAAGGTAACTCCTCCATAACTCAGTGTTTTTACAAGGAAGCCATTAAAATTAGTGGAGCATATTCTTAATAGAAGAATCCAATCATAGAGCTGGAAGAGACTGTTTAGGCCATTAAGTCTAATCTCCACTCTATGAAGGAATCTAAAAGCATTGACAACTTATGTCTGTCACACTTCTGCTTTAGTATGTCAAATAAAGAAGAACAAAAGTATTGCTGTTATTATGGAATGTTCCTAATATTCAGTGAGAATGTGCCTTCTCTGTCTTAAATTGATTGTTATGCCTTGTGGGATGAGAACAGATTTTGATTTCTTCTGTTTGACACTTTGTCATATGTTTAAAGAATGCTGTCATATTCCCTCTTGTTTTCAGTCTAAACACCTCCGTCCTTTCAATGTCTCTTCATAGGACTCAGTTTCTAGTCCCCCGATAATTTGTTTTACTAGTCTCAGAACCTGTTCCAGTTTGTCTCACTTCTTCTTAAAGTATGGTGCCCACAACTGGGCACAACATTTGAGGGGTGGTCTGATTAACCTAGTAGTAGTAAAACTAAGTAGAAGTAAGAGATAGAACTATTGTGATTTCAATATTTTTGTTGCAGCTTAAAATTTCATTTGCTGTTTTTGTAATAATCATATTGTTGGTTCATATTCAGTTTGCAACCAACTTGTTTTTGAAGACCTTTTTCACAAGTGCTGTTATGCCAGATGTTCCTCATCCTATACTTGTACACTGATTTGTTTTTCCTAAGTGAAGAATTTTACTTTTGTCTCTGTTATATTTCATTCTGTTAATTTTAGCTCATTTTTGTAAGTTGTGAAGATTGTTTTGAATGTTATTTGGTTGTATGGGATATTACTATTCCATCCAATTTTGTGTCATCTGCAGATTTGATAAACATTTCCTTCACCTGCTCATTCAAATAATTAATAAAAATATTGAAGAGTAGAGAACCCAAAACAGCTCCTTGTGGCATTCCACATGATTCCTCTCTCCAATTTGATGAGCACTCCCTCCACCCCACTCCTTCCAGAGGTTGTTATCCACAAATGTGACCAATGCTATTTCAGTCTCATACCCAGCCTAAAACCCAGCTTGGGTTCTATGGATCCTCCTCTTTCCCTCTTTTGAAGGTAGGGGCATTTGGTCTCTACGTTCATCTGATACTTCAACAGCTGTTCAGGATTTCTCCAGCACAATTCATAGAGGTTCAGTCAGAGGTTTCCTCAGTATTCATCTGGCCCTGGAGATTTAAACTTATTCAAAGTAAACCTATTTCCTGACCATATTTCTGTCAGTCCCATGCTTTAATCTTGCCCCTTCATTCTGCTCTTTGCAATTGCCTAATGGAACACATCCCATCTTATTGAGGAAGACTGAGCAAAAGTTGGAATTGAGTAATTCATCTTTTCTTTTTTACCTGCTAGTATTTTGCAGTCTTAATTGTGTAGATGATACACAGATTTATTTCTCTTCCTTATTTTAAACATTTTTGAATGAGACCCTTTTATTGCTCTTAGCATCCTTTGCCATAGCAATTGTGGACTATCTCTGTGTACTCTTCCTTGGTGACATGTCACTCTTTCCTCCACCTATATGTGCCCTTTATATGTGCTGTTTTAATTTTCAGATCTTCACTGAGCATTTTGTTGCGGCCATATAGGCTTCTTGTGCCGTCTTGCAAATTTGCTTCCCTCATTAGAATTGGTTGTTTCAGGCTTTATATTATAAATCCTTGTCTATGTTATTGAAGTAGCTTTTATTTCCTGAAATCTACAATAAATTACTTTTGTATAATTATGTATCACCATTAGAATCTGCAAACAACTTTCTTAGCACCCAGGTTCCTACCCTCACTTTACTTTTTAAAAATAGATTTTTATTTTTAAATATGGGGATTAACATGCTACAGAGTAAAGGACTGGCTTGCATCATTAATTTTATTTCAAGAATGCCTTTTATTTCAAATATGCCTATTTGGGACCCATGGGAATTCTTAGAAAATAAAATTTAAAAAAAAAACAGTGGGTTGCTGCTGCAACAATAGCCAATGTAAATAATAGACTTGCCTTCAGTCTTGTCCTAAATATTATTATTTGAATAATTCCTTACTAATTTTGGTGAGACTTATCCACAGTTAAATATATTTAGACTTGCAGCCTTTAGTACTCATAATATGTCTTGTATTGACTTTGTAATTCCTCCTAGTTTTAAGCACAATTGCTAGAATGTATGACTGCAAATCTTATTTCTACAAACAATGTTAATTTTTATTATTGAACCTATTTTCTATCCAGATCGTATCTGCAGTGCAGTATTGCCATCAAAAGCATATTGTTCACCGAGATCTCAAGGTAAGAAGAGAACTATAAAGAATTTTATGTGAAAATAAGTTGCATTTTTAGTCTATTTTTTTAAATCCTGCATTTAACTTATGCTTTAGTCTGAAAAAATAAAGGATTACATTCTGTGACAAATGTGAACTATTGCTTGGCATGTTAAGAGTAAAATACTTGCCTTATTAACCACAATAGGATGACATTTTAATAAAGTTGAGCATATTGTTAGGGAAACAGATACAAAAAAAGTGGTTCAAAATGTTTTCAATACTAAATAGAGTTCTCTTGCACAAGTACAAGCTGATTGCAAAGGCAAAAGTAGAGGCAGCACTTCTAATTTCTCACTTTAAGCTTTACATAGCCTCACACTATCTATGTTTCTTGTTCTATCACTCCTTGTCTCTAGGAAAAGTTGTTCTTGCTCAGGAGCAACATTCCAGATGGTGCATACTTTCATATCCTCATAATTCCATCTTCTTTTGGGTTTTCAGCATCTCTGCTTAAATTTCCATTTGTTCAGTTCTTCATTTGCTGTTCCTAGATTTTAAACCTGTTTCCTGGCTTTCCTTCCTCAATGGCCACCTTCAAAAGTCTCTTTAACTGTTTTACTTCAGTTTCTCACTACCAAAGGCCTCCATCATCCCTTTCCTTTTTTCCTCAGTTCCAAACAATTTTAATTCAGGAAATCCTGTTATCAGAACCAATACAGGTTAAGCTATCTTAGGAGTCATTATGAAACTTCAGCTTTCAGAAAAATCAACTCCTTTTGCTATCTTATCATAAAAACGAGTCTTTATTAAGCAGTAACATATGATTGGGTATATTTTACATGCCTTATGTGTTTCCAATTGCCAGATAATGTTCAGCTTTTTATCTGTTAAATCTTATTAACTGTTAGGCCAGTTAGATAAACCATATCTTGAGGGCCATCAGATAGAGAAAACTATTTATTTTTTATGCCAAGAACCCCCACACACACATACTAAAAATCTTATCACATTATTTTTTCCTCTAGGCTGAAAATCTATTACTTGATGCAGACATGAACATTAAAATAGCCGATTTTGGTTTTAGTAACGAGTTTACAGTTGGAAATAAACTGGACACATTTTGTGGCAGCCCTCCCTATGCTGCTCCAGAACTCTTCCAAGGCAAGAAATATGATGGACCTGAAGTAGATGTTTGGAGCTTAGGTGTCATTCTTTATACTCTTGTGAGTGGATCTCTACCTTTTGATGGACAGAATCTAAAGGTATATACCTAATTTATATTTAAAAGGTGAGGGAGGGGAGACATTTCTATTGTCATTTCACAGCTGTATCAGCATATTGACTGCTTTTTATAATTTTCTGATCACTGTTGATTTAAGGAACTGAGAGAGAGAGTGCTAAGAGGAAAATACAGGATTCCTTTCTACATGTCAACAGACTGTGAAAACCTCCTAAAACGTTTCCTGGTGCTAAACCCAACTAAAAGAGGCACTCTTGAGGTAATAACATATTTGATAAACTTACTCTTATTTCACTGTAATTCATTTACTAAACTTAGTAATCTTTACATTTATTTTTGCATAGAATATATTCCTTACTAGCTTTTTATCTCCTAGATCTCCAAGTTGTTTTTCAGTTGCAGAAAGAGAAAATAGGGTTGGATATTTTAAAATACATGCAGCATATTTTATACCAGGTATAATTAACCTCCCATGCCCTGTTCATTACTTGAAAAACTCAAGTCTCATTGTTGCTGGCTGTACAAACATTGACTACTATGCTCAGAAAACCATGGTGCTGTCAGTTTGACTGAATCAGTGTATTGTCAGTTACGAACTCTCTTCTTGGTGCTTTTAAGTTTTTTAATTTTATAGAGGTGGTATGTCCCACCTAAAGTGTTGTTTGTGAGTTTAAATCCAACTAAACATCTTCATTATAGCAATCTAATACTAGCCAATCATTAGATTTATTTTTGTACCAATACACTCCCCACAAATTTGAGCTTTGGCAACAATTGTATTGGTGCTTCTAATGTTAACTTGATATTTTAAAACACTTGTTTAAAATAGTCTTGAACAAGTAGAGTAAGGGACAATTTCTTGACCCACACAACCCAAAGGGGGCTTCACTCACTCATACATGCCCATCACTACCCATGCTACTGCATTCTGGATCAGTTGAATCTTCTGGGTGCAATTCAAAGGCAGCCCCACATAGAGCTTGGTGCATAATTAAACATTAAATGTTGTTTAATTTCCTCTAATATATTTCCCTGTTAAGCAAGTTATGCTTGAATCCCAGATGATTTGGTTGAATCCTCTCAAAATAGTTCTTGTCAATTCTCAGAAGTTCTCTTTTGCTCTTGTTTTTGCTGAGAGTAGAACATTAAATTAAATTAAATTAAATTAAATTATTAAAATATGACATTTGGAAAAATGTTTTCTCCACCTTTTTAGTGATTGCTTTGTTTGATACTGAGTATTATTTTATATTTGTTTAATGTACTGTTTATTATGTATTTTATTACTATTTTTATTAACTGCATTAAGATGTTTTGGCAGAAGAAGTGTTTACACACACACACACACAGACACACATCCTAAATAAATAATATTTAGATTATTTTATTTTCTGGAAGAAATGAAAGCAAAAGTAATTTGTATACCCATGTTGTGTCCATGTTAGCCCTTATAATCTCTTCTCCCTTAGAAATCACTTGTTTAAAACAAGCCTCAAAGTGATTTATGAACACACTTTGAGAATCAGAGTAGGAATCTGTCTAAACTATTTGTTCCAATAGTAGCCAACAGGCTGTCTCTGAGAAGCCCACAAGCTGGACACAAGAGTAATATCATTCTCTTTGGGTTTCTCAAGAACTGGTTCTGATATGCTTGAAATACTATGTAACCATCTTGATGAGTATGTTTTGTTAGCCTTATCCTAGGTCTAATGTACCTGGGTTGCAAAAATCCAGAAAACACCCTTTGCCATTAGTGGTTGTCCAGATTTTTGCAGCCCAGATATTATCCTTTGTGTTAGCTATATTATGTGAAGGAATCTTAAGTACCAACTAAGTGGTATGCTTGTAAATGTTTAACAATTGGCTCTTTTGGTTTCATTGCTACCATGCTGCACTGATAACAGCTGAACAGCTGATTTGCATGCTTGGCATAGTAGTTCAGCTCTGCTCTCAACCAGCACAAAATTCCAGAAAATTTAACAATCAGTTCTTGCAAGCTGGTACAAGCCAGCCACCACACCACTGTACCATGCTATCTCAGAATTAAGTAGAAAAATATAACAAGCTAATTCCTCCACAAACCATCCTATTGGTAAGCTGTTGGTGAAAATAACGTCTGGTAGAATGTACCCTTGGATACAGTCTTTATGGTTTCATAGCAATGGAAATATGACATACATGAAATGATACTTACAGTGAATCAGCAGACTTTTTGATACCCCTTGTGAGAGAAATGTCCCTACTCTTTTATACAATCTCTTAAATGGCAAAAAGAGAAGACATTACAGATAGAAGATATTTAAGGAAAAGGACTACAGGATATCTGAAATTTCAGCATTACAGGTGATTCCCTTTGAATGGACCCAACCTCTTGACCCTCTGTCTTTGCTACAGAATCATGGAGGATTCTTATTAGCATGCCTCCTTTTCTCTTAACATGCCTCCCCCTTCTCTTTCTTTTGTATTGTGACCACAGAGATTATAGCTGCTAAGACTTGGCCACTAAGACTTGTCTTTTTTAGCAGAAAGCATCTATCCCATCTCATTCCTAGGAAGAAGTCAAAGATTGTTTAAATGACCCATACTTCTCCCTATTCCCTTTGAGGGAACCACTTCTTCCTTTCTTTGGATCAAAGTGGATCTATGTACCAGAAACATCCCACACTTTCGTTCCTTCCCCAGTAAGTGTCCAACAGAAGATTCAGTAGTTACAATTGTGGGGGGACATGATGGACTGCAATGGAAAGGCTAGGTCACAGAATCATGATGTTTCAATATAGGCTGAACTAGTTCTAAGTATATACCCTCTTTAGCCATTTCTAGAATTTAAAATCAACATCTGGTGCATTAGTATGCAGAACAGCAAAGTAAGATCTGGGAAAATGATATTGCCACAGATTACAAATATATACTATTTATTTTGCTGTATATAGGATGAAGGCAGTGTGAGTATTGGAAGAAAAGGCAAGTGCCAGTGCTTATTCTTCAGATAAGGCAAGCTTACTTGCCTTCAGTTACTTAAAGTATTAAGATGTGAGTTTTACTAGAGATTTTTGTTACTGTTACGATAATATAAAAATTCTCTTTGCAGCAAATAATGAAGGACAGATGGATCAATGCAGGACATGAGGATGATGAACTTAAACCTTTTGTGGAACCAGAACTAGACATCTCAGACCAGAAGAGAATAGGTAACCAATGGATGAAGATAGGAGGCATGAATATTTAATACAGTAAATTGTGTACATTGTAATATGAGATATTGCTTCCTTAAATGTGCAAATTTAGACAGGAGAAAGATCTTGGCCATGATAATATTTATGTAAATTACATTAAATGTTCTGTTATAAATCTCTAATTTATATAGTATGTCAATCAACCCTGAAAACTCCTTTTTTAGATATTATGGTTGGAATGGGATATTCTCAAGAAGAAATTCAGGAATCTCTCAGTAAAATGAAATATGATGAAATCACTGCTACATACTTACTACTGGGGAGGAAATCATCAGAGGTAAGTAAAATTTGCAAGCTAACATTAGATATTATAGGCTAAGTATAATCACAAAGCATATTATTAACCCTTTAAAAATTAGCACTCTGTGTATAGTGTGTGTGTGTGTGTGTGTCTGTGTGTGTTCAGTATTTAGCAGGACAAGTTAATTCCCATCTCAATTGTGCAGCAGTTTTTTTTAAGTAGACACATTAATTTAAGGCTTGCAGCAGCTCATTCCCCTCTTGGTAAACCATGGTGTAAGATATCTGAACTGGCTTATAGCCTTGAATATAAAAACAAATGATAGTTTGGCTTAACAAGCATCTTAATACACTTGAAGTAGTATGTTTAGGAAAGAGCCAGTTTGGTGTAGTAGTTAAGGTTCAGGCTAGAAACCGGGAGAACATGAGTTCTGGAACAGTAGTGGTTCTATTTAAGCAGGATTACATTTTCTCACTGTGCTTCTATTATTTTACATGCATCTGTTTTCTTTTTATAAGAGAGAGGATCATTTTCAGCATTGATAAACTGAAGATGATGGTTATAGAAAGAAATGGCCAGTTATTTACGATGTCCTGCTCTTACATCGGGTCTCTGTGATCAAGGGAGATGCAGATGCAAGATGTCAGATGCACATCTTAATTTCAGTGATGCTGAAGTACTATAAGCTCTGATTATTCAGTGGCAGTTGCCAACTGATACCAAACATGCAGTGGTAGGGGAAGCGCTAGTGAATGTTATGTTTTCTGTATAGCTGTCAACGTTTTAAAATGAAATCTGTCTTTTTTTTTCCTAGTTCCTAATTGGAATTAGGAAAAGAGAAAATAACCACAGCAGCTCAAAATGTTGAATTGAATGATTGATAATGCACCATCAAGTTGTTGTGGACTTTTAGCAAACACATAGACAGATTTTCTCCATGACAAACTGTCTTTAACCTGGTTTTTTAGGTCTTCCAGTGGGGCACTCATTGCCACTGTAACTGGGTCCATCCACCTTGCTGGTCGTCGTCCTGCTCTTCATTTTCCTTTCACCTTTCCCAGCATTAGAGCCTTTTCCAGAGAGCTAGGTCTTTGCATATGTGTCCAAAGTAGGATAATTTGAGCCTGGTCATTTGTGCCTCAAGTGAGAACTCTGGGTTGATTTATTCAAAGATCCTTTGGTTTGTTTTCTTGGCTCTCCACAGTGTTCTCAGGAGTCTTCTCCAACACCAAGGTTCAAAAGCATCAATACTCTTCCAGTCCTGCTTCTTCAAAGTCCAACTTTCGCTTCCGTAGAGCGTCATAGGGAATACTAAGACTCACATGATTCTGATCTTAAAATGTTGGATGGCTTTGAAAAAAAGCTTTTGATAATTCTGGGCTTTGTCAGTTTGAACTAATTTCAGCTAGATGCCTTATGGTAGGATGCCTGAAGGCTGCATGCAGCCTCCCAGCACACTGCAGTTGTGCAATCCGAATTCATTGGCAAAATGGCCTAATTTTTGCAGTGGCTTTTTTCCCCCAAGTTTAAGGTAGGAAATGGGAGCAGGAAGCCTCTGGCAGGCAAAGCCCTCCTATCCCCATTCTTGATCTTCCCAGCCCCCTGACCAGGGGCCTAGGAACAGCATCAAAAATAGTAATTTTGGTCTGACTTTTTTTCCAGGAGGTGTTAAGGTTGGGAAAACTCTTGCTCCCATTACTACCTTTAAAACTCTCCAAAATGATAGGAAATATTTTAGTTCTCCCTCTTCCAGTGACAGTACCAACCCCAGCTTGATAAACAGCAAACATAACTCCAATCAGCAGCAGCACGACAAGCAGTCAGCAGCAATGAAATCAACCATCTTCACCTCTTTGGTTTTTCCACTTTCTTTTTCCTCCTCTCTCTTTTTCCTTTTCCTTTCCTCAGCTGAACCCACACATAAAACATTCTGGTTTATTTATTAACAAGGGTATACACTCTGGTATTTACCTCGGAGCAATTGATGTGATCCGGTGGTATCATCGGTCATTTGTCTTGGCAGGACACTTTTTAGTGTCTTGAAGTTTATTGACACCATAAACCTCTACAAAGGAGAGGAATCTATTAGGACGGCCCACCTCAAGTGCCTTATGAATTTTTCTGTTTTTGACTGGCACTTGGAGAGTTTCCCCATGATTGAACAGGCAGTTTTACCATACACATAATTTATCTCTGGAATACTGAAGGGATAAATGCACTATTTATTACTGCCCCCAGTTGCCCCTCCCTATTTGTTGATCCAGGGAATCAGCACTGGTGGAAGAAAAGAAATGCAATCAAATATGAGTATGAACTTTGGTTTGGGCCTATACTGTGGCGTAAGGGTGGTGAAGCATCATACTTCTTTGCCCTTATTTCATCTGTATAATGTTGTATGGCTTTTTAAAGTGATCCACTGGTTGGGAATGATGGGCCAGAACTTCCAGCAGTTTCTATTTACCTTTTTGCTGATCTCTTTTCTGGACAAAATCATTCATACTTACTCAGGTACTGCTGAGTAGGGTCCAGTGAGCTGACAGGAGTGATGCCTTGTGATATTTTCTGTGATTAATTTGAGCTGGTGGATTCTGATGGAGCACACAGAGTTCTCTAGGATGAGCTCCACAACAAGTGGGCTGGATTCCTTGCTTATTCAAGCAGCCAGGGAGGGATGAAGTGGAATACATTCAGGAAGTGGAGAATATCTCTTTGAAAGAGGGGATAGTTCTACTGGCCTTGAAAAAGGAAATGAACCATCTCTTTCTGAAGGTGCCATCCCTTGATCTAGCCATTATGGACAACTTCTGCCCCATCTCCAACCTTCCCTTTTTGGGGAAAGTGTTGAAGAAGGACCCATCTAGAGGAACTTGGAAGAATAGATTATCTAGTTCCTTTCAGTCAGTATTCAGACCACAGCATGAGATGGACATTTCATTTGCCACTCTTGTGGATGATCTGTGGTGGACTTGAATAAAGACAGTGTGGGCCTTCTGGTACTGCTAGATAATTTCATCCATAGCACCTGAACCACATACATTGGTGGGAATTGGAGGCATTGTTCTGCAGTGGTTGTGTTCAAGTTGGGGAATCAAACCCTTAGCCTATGGGATGTCCCAGAGCTCACCCCTCTTTCCCATTTTGTTTAACATTTGCATGCAGCTGCTGGGAGAGGTCAGTATACAGTGAGGTATCATCAACGTGCAGGTGATAGTTGTATACACACACACACACACACACACAGTGCCCATCCCTGGGCAAACAGGAGGTGTGATAGATATCCTTACCCAGTATTTAGAAGCTATGAGGGACTGGATGAAAAGAAACAGGGCTAGATTTAATCCCAGCAGTGGCTTTTGATCCAAAAGTTGCCCAATAACAGGGTACCATTGGAACTATCCTAGAACTAGATCGGGTTGCACATACCCGAAGAGCAAATTTGTAATCTGAAGGTTCTCCTGGAGTCACGACTCCTGCTAGAGCAGTAAGAGGAAGCTGTGGAGAGGAGAACCTTTGCTCAGCTTTGTGGCCAGTCTTGGAATGGAATACAAGGGCAGTGGTCATTCATGTTATTGTGACCTTTTTGTCTGGACTACTCTAATTTATTCCACCTGCAGCTGGTCTTGAAGACTATTTGGAGGCTGCAGCTGATGCAAAATGCAGCTGTCCACTTTCTGATGAGGGAGAACCATTATAGCTATTTAGTACCTCTATCATGAGAGCTGCATTGACTGTCAGTCCACTTCTGAGTGCAATTCAAGGTACTAATTATTACCAATAAAGCCCTATATGGTTTGGTTCCTGGTTATCTCCAAGTAGAATCTAGAATTAAGAGTCACCCTCCGGGGGTGATGGGCAGCATACAAAATGAATGAATGAATGAATGAATGAATGAATGAATGAATGAATGAATGAATGAATGAATGAATGAATGAAATCTGTCAGCCAGTACAGA